TCTAATCCTGACAATATTGGTGGTGTAGAGAGCCCCTCCTAGGGATCACAACACTAAGACCATCAGGGAGCGATGCACGCCCTTCCACGCAGCTAGAGTCACCAAGTGGCAGCACTGCCTTGGGGATGATGGCCAAGGTTCCTCCCATCGTGGCTCTGCATTCACCCCTTGAGGAGAGCTCCTCTATGGTAGGAGACCGTGCTTGGGCAGTTTCTTTGGAGGGGGCGTGGGATCATCGCCCGTTGATGGCCCCCTCCTGAGGAGGTAGCTTCTGATGGCTAGAGTATGACAGGTCTTGTCTGTCATGAGGAGCTTGAATTGGGTGGGGACTTCTTCATGTGGCCACATCCCACGAACTCTAGTGAAGTGATGTTTGTGGTGGATGACGTGGTTGAGCAAACCACAAGGGAGGTTGCCTCCAGGAGTCGCGAGGGGCTCCAGGTGACCTTGTCCAAGATAGGTGATGCAATCGCCATGATCACCCAGCTGGGCATGGAGGCTTAGCGTCGGATGGCCGACGAGGTGGCATCTCAGGCACAGGTAGGCCGTTTGGTCTTTTGGTTTTGCCACGCTCGTTTTGGGTTTGCTGTAATTGTCTAATTGCCTCTCTTTTCTGTAAAGGCTGGCGAAGATTTTGATGGAGAAGTCGGGGTTCGTGCACCTGGCTTATCAGGCGTAGGTAGGAAATGCCACCGACCATGGCCGCCTGGATGTGGTGGAGGCCAAAGTGCAACACTTGCATGGGGAGCTAGAGGCTTCCCAGAGAACGAAGGAGGAACTGCTTCGTTAGGAGGCGTGGGCTCGGTCCCCGATCAAGGCTCTGACATCCCAAGTGGCCGGTCTCAAGGATGTGTTGGCCATCCAAGAGATGGAGCTTACCTCGGTTGGCACTGCTCTGGAGGAAGTCGAGCAAGGGCATCAACGTCTTGAAGCTGAATGCCAGAAACTATGCTCCACTTGTAGCGGTAAGTTCTCTTCTATTTTGCGTCGCACTTTTGTTCTGTTGCTATATTTGGTCATGAACCAGTTGTTTTCTTTAGGGCTATGTGCGAGGGCACTCTTGGATCAGGAGGAGAAGGCGGCCATGAACTAAAAGGTGCTAGAGATGGGTGACCAACTGGCAGCGCTGACTGACTTTGGTTGGGCTCTTTGTGATGTCATGCTCGGTGCCAGTCTTGACGAGGCCCACCTCCAAGTGGATCCCCTAATCGCCAAGGGAGTTCATTGTGGCGTTCATGCCGCCTTGACATCGGTCGGCTCGCACTATGGTGGTGTCGATTTTGATGCCATTGGGCGAGGTTACGCATCGGGGGAGTCCAATAGTGATGTCCTCGCCATCGGCAGAGTGCTGCCGCTCATGGTGTAGAGGCCCTTGCGAGCAAGTTGTCAGCCGCATGCATTCGCTAGCAGTTCCAGACTTCCGGTATATGAGGGTTTCTATGGTGAATGTTTGGGTTTGTGTGGATGGTCTTTTCTGTAATGAACATGTTTGGATTATGTGTATATATGGTGTGTGGTCGGCGCATTCGTTTGTCATTTTACCGTTTCTTCATTTTCTTCTAGTTTGAGCTAGGAATGTACGCCGTTCCCCTTAGCCTTGTGCGCATAGGTGCATGTTTTAGCCTAGGGGCTGGCCCATAGGGCTAAAAGATATGTGGCCCGACCACGCGGTAAGATGTCGAGGAAAGGTCGCAGATCCGGTTGATGCGAGAAGAAAGCGAATAGAGGATGAGCATTTTATTTCCTTTCGTTTCCTTTGCCTCGAGTGAGACTATGCCCCATTCCTCCCCAAACTCGTGCGTGGGTACTTGACCTTGCCTTGGAGCTGGTCTGCGAGGCTTGGTCGGAGCGACCTCTTGAACAAGCAGTTGAGGAACAAATCGCTGACTCGTCATGGCATGGGACGCAATTGGAGAAAACTCAAAAATGGGTTGCTAGGATGATGACAAGCTGTGCTACACCTCAAGACAATTTGTGCATGCCTATATGTGTAGCCCTCGTTAGTGAGTCGTGTCTGGCTGTTAGCACAAGTCGGATCAGGTCATTTGGGAGTTAAGCAACACTTGGGTGGAATATGAGGGTATCATGTTCTTTAGTCTGCTCTACAAGTTGGCTCTTAGGCTTCTGTAACTACCGGCGAGTTACACGTGTATGTGGACGTGCATAGGTAGAGAGGCTAAGGTCAAAGTTGATGTGACTAACCAATGTATCGGAAGCTATTGTGGACCAGGCTATCGTTGCTCAGGGCGCGGTGAGCCCCCAAGCGCATGTTCGTGGCGGAGTTGTCGTGGTCCTAGGGCCGCGAGCTGGTGAGGAAGCTTCGTTATCGCTTGAAGCGGTCGTAGCCATCGCGGGTCGACCTCTCAGGTGGCCTTGGGTCGATCCTTGCTGGCCCGTCGTCCTCGATGGGCTCATGAGGCCCTAGGGATGGCTTCTTTGTGTTTGGCTTGTTGAAGCCCTTGGCCGAGAGGGCTTGTGCATTCTGATACACTGAGTCCTCGTGCCATGTCGATGTCGTAGGCATTGCATCTCCGCTTCTAAGTGAGGATGTTGCTCTTGATGAAGAGCTGGTGCGACCTGTCGCTGTAGAAGTGCGTTCTGAGGGTGACACAGTTTGGTCCGCTCGCCGCAGCAGGTCATGTGCTCGAAGGGCCTACTTCCTTAGATGCACATGCCTCCATGTGAAAGCTGACAGTTCGTAATGTCATGATGGATGGCTAGTCCGTCATAGGGCATTTGACCCCGGTTCTGGGCTTGGCCTAGTGAGGCATGGCGCCGGCCAGCCACCTGATCACTGATGACGATGCCGTGTGGCAGCGGATGGTTTCATCACTCGTGCACACCCGGACTCACCGCGCTCTACCGGCGGCGGAGACGCTGCTCGGGGCTTGGCTCTGCCACCAGATTCAAAGCTCCCACGTGGTGGGCCTAGATGGGGTAGAGGCCGGTGACAGGCGTCAACCCATCGGTGCGGACGATCTCATGGTTTCCAAAAGGGTGTGGCCGTCGGGGGCTATTCCGAGGGTGAGTTCGCCATGAGCCATTGGCCTCTGGTTTCCTAGGTGGATGACCTGGCCATGGCCAGTGATGAGAGAGTGTACTGGCCCCGCATGTAGGTGAACTCTGGCATGCAACCTCTAAGGGCAGTTCCGAGAGTGTGCCCGCCGTAGGCCATGGGGTCTAGGTCTCCGGGGTGGAGGTCCAGGCCGCGACCGAAGGCAAACGTGGGCGCTGGCCCTTTGATGTTAATAAATTCGGGGTTCCCATGACGGATGTGGCCGCCGTGGGCCATTATGCGGGCGAATCCACTGACGGTGCGAGGAGCCATCGCTTCCTTCTCAACAATCGAGAGTGCGCAACTCTCCCCTACTTGGCGTGTCAACTGTCGGTGTTTTGTAATCCGACTAGTAAATTTATACGAACGTCACGCTGCTCTAGGAAGATGATGATAGCATCCAAAAGACATGAGAAATTATACTGGTTTAGGCCAGAGCCCTACATCCAGTCTCAGAGATGATCGAGTGCGTGTTCCTCGTTTGAATGCTTTGAAGTTCTTACAATAAGGGGTGCAAGAATGGTGGAAGAGGTAGGAGAGCTAGAGCTAGGAGATGGGCTACCCAAAGAAAAGCTTTGAGAGCCCGAGAATTATCAAGATGAAGATGGTGGAAAGGGTGCCCTAGCTGCCCTTATATAGAGTTTAGGGCCAGGTCACATACAAAGAAGGAGGTTTTCCCGATCGAGGGGTCATGAGCCTGAGGGAGGGGGCCTAGCTAACTTGGCTTGCAAGTAACGCCGTCTTGTGGTGCACGTCTGGGCGTGGCTGTCGTCATGGTCTTGTGCCCACGTCGTGGCATGGTGTGACGTGGTGCTATAGTGTTGGTCATGGCAGCACTATGGGCATGGTGGTGTTTCGCCAACCGTCCTGCGCGACGTGGTCTCGCCGTAGCCTTCGTCATCGCCTCCTGATCATCCGGGGGCGTCGTACAGGAGTAGTAGCCGTCCCTGGGTCGCGCGATCGCTTTGCTGTTGGTGGAGTTGGTGGGTACGACCCTGGGCTCTAGGGTCATGGTCTTTGCTTGGCTTGAGTAACCTCTAAGTCAAGGCCACCGTTGTGGATCCCATCCCGTGGTCGGTGGAATCGTACATGTCTTGTCGGACCGTATTTGGACGGTGGGTCTCCGTACTGGCCATCACTGCTTAGCGGTGTTGTCTTGTCTGCACTGCATGGCGCAGGGATGGTGTCTGACCGGACCGAGGTGACTGCTATCCTCTTGGTCCTTGCGGGGTCAGTGCTTGGCGGGGCTCGATCTCTCCCCGTTCCTCCCAGGGGTCGTGACGGTAGAGAAGTCGTGAGTTGTTGCGTAATGTGTAGCCAAGGCAGAGGGAAGGGGTCGTGGCAGGCCCCGGCCTTACTGTTTGGCCCGGTCTACTCTGCTTGGCTGAGCCTCGATCGTTTGGGTTTATACTAGCTGGCGTACTGTGAGCTGCCTAAGCGGCTCACTAATCGGTGCCTTGAGATATCCGGGGTATTATAATCCCGACAGAACTGAATAGACTCAATGTAGGTGCCCGCTACCTCTGACTCTGAGAAGGGAAGGACAACGACACATGGAGCGAGTGACATAAAACACTTAGAAGCAAGTATAGTACGAGGTTGTAAGTGGACTGTAGGCTGAGGTAGAGGAGAGAGAAGATAAGTGGATTGTAAGCTTATAGTGAGCTTGTGCATAAGAACCTAAAAATATTGTGAGACAAATAAGTAGGCTATAAGCCGGCTCATTATTATACGAGTGAGGTGCCAGATTGGCTATAAGTTTTCTTAAAGCGGCCAGTCTGTATTACTAGCATCTCTCCTGCAATTGGGTCCATCGCTGTTCAGGTGGGCTCTGTTGGGCAGTGCTTCCTGGCCCGTACTTCTGACAGCATTTTTTGACTTTTCTTTTTCGCCTAGGGCTTCGTTCTTCTGGGACGCCGCCGCCACCCTCCAAGGCTCCCCCCACATGGCCGCCGCCTGCCTCCGCCTTCTCCGCCGCATCCCTCATCCCCTCCTCCAGCCCGCCGCAGCCACTCACTGCCTCTTCCCAACCCCCGCTGCCAAGGCTGCTCTGGTCACGCAGTCGTGCCCATCCGGCGCCGACCGCGTCGAAGGACCGCTCAGCACCCTCCGCCCCGGTGAGTGTCAATTCCATCCCGTCGAGAACACGGAACCCTGTTGCAAATGGCAATTTGCTTAATCACGATCAGAGTTCTCATTAGCGTTCAATGCTGTGTGTAAATTTGAAATGAGAAGTTTATAGTTGTAATTGGCTAGATTGTGGCCATGATTGGGGGTGATATGCTGTTGACGTTTGTCCCCAAAACTCAGGATTTTTTGCTTTCTTTAAGATGGCAGTTGTTTTCTCAGGTAGATAGTTTTGGCGGCGGACCATAAAAAAACATCTTCCATTTCTGCGATGTGATATAACATTTTCAATTTCATGGACTGTGTTCTCAAATCAAACATAGCTATTGCTTGTTCTTTGCAAATTCATAACTGGGCTGCTGAAAGCAGTAACGAATCGAACTTTTCCCCTACTACCTCTGAACAATGCTCTGGTTGTTCTAAATTTTCCAGTGCAATTTAGAGTGATACTGCTTCAGTTTCCCATTACAAATTGCTCTAAAAAGTGTACGTTTTTGCCTTAGGTTTTGCAAGTAATGGTAACTTCAAACATCAATGGCATCACAAGTTGGGTTCATCAGTTGGTGCTGTATTGATTGGACACGCAGGTATGTTTTCTGTACCACTTCTGGTTACAGATTTTATTATTTTGTATTCCATGTAGTCGCTCTTCAAGTTTGTGCATTTGGATTGTGCCCCACATGCACAGTGCTTGTATCACAATTCCAAAAGAGTACAATGTATTTGTCGACGAGGACAGTTGACTTGTGTCAGTTATTTTATTGTGTAGCTAGGGTCTGTTTGTTTGAGCCAAAGCTTTTGGAATTTTGTGGCTGCCGGTAAAAGCCCTCTTTTGAAATTGTCTTTGTGGATAAGCTTTTGGATGAGCGAAATGTATAAAAAACGTAGTGCCCCTCAAAACATCATCACTGGAAGCTAGCAAATGCCCTTGAAAGCAAAAAGAATTGTGTATAACACGTGGGATGTATTGCATTGAGTCTCTTTAGCGGTATATATAGAGAACAAAGACTTTGGGGGCAAAACACATCTTTGGATACATATGGTAAATACAGGATTACAATCCTAACCACCAAATATACTAACATTCCCCGCAGTCGTAGTAGGAGTATCGCTGCTGGTTATACTGGAGAAGAAGTCAAAGACTAACATCCCCTGCAGTCATAGGGGGTGTTTGGCAGATCTCTGCGCAGCTCCAGATCCTAAAAAACTGATCTGCTCCTAATTTTTCTAGCCAAACGCCCCAGCTCCACGAACTCTAGATCTGCCAAAAACTTGGATCTAGCTCTCAGATCCACCAAATCCATGGAGCACCTCAAGGGGTGCTGTGAAAACTCTAATTTCGTGGAGTTGGTGAAAATTACCCACCACTGCCATCCGTCACACAAACATACCTGTTTGATTTCTTTTTTTTCCACCTCTTCCTCCCGTCACCGCGAGTGCCGTCATAGCCCGCCCCACCCTCGCGTGCCCACCACCAGCTCCTCCCTCGCCGGTCGTGGACCTGCATCCGGCGCCGCCCCGCCGCCACCCCCTCCCCTGTTGATCGCGGCCCCTCTCCACCGATGCCGTTGCCATGTGTGGCACCTCCGGCCTGCAGCCGGCGGCCCCTCCCCAGCGCCCCTCCCGGCGGTGGCCCCTTCCCAGCGCCCCTCCCTTGCCAGTCCTACCCGCGCGTGTCCCCTCCTAGTGTCGCACAGGAATGCCCGCCATGGCCACATCGGGAGAGAGGAAGATGTTTTTTTTAAAAAAATTTTGGTCCCTGTCCATCTCAGAGTTGGAGCTCTACCAAATAGTTTGGTGGGAGCTCAGCTCCGCCGTAGAGCTGCTCCATGGTGGAGCACCTGCTCTGGAGCTGTGTTTTCAGAGCTGGAGCCCTGCCAAACAACCCATAGTGACGTCGCAATGCAGATGCTGAGCTTGGAGACCGATGAGTAGCCCATTCAGACGATAGACCTTTCTGTCACTGAAATAGCTGAAATAGCCGCGAACGATGTGGATGTGATCAAAGCCGTGGAGGGAGGCGCAAGTCTGAAGCATCAACAGAGGCACACAACTAGCTTCTAACCAATGAACCGCAGCATGATGATGAGCTGACTGAATGGTGAAGGTAGATGGGGCTGCTTGGACGTATCAACAAGCGCTCACATGTCATCCATTAACAATATTGATGGCGATGTCCCAGAGGTGGCAGTAGTATGCACGGACTCAGATTGGTTAGTTAGCTTGATGAGGGCCGGTCGCATGGTAGGCGCCATCCTGGATAGCCGGCCACTGGAAAGATGGTTTGATCATGAGTGTCGTCATTAATGCCTAGGAGGGCACACAACGTCAACCTTGTCCTTGGGAGAGTCAACGATCGAGCGTCGAGAGATCGGTAGATAGGGCAACACAATCCTGATCTCCGATTGGAAAGAAAGAAAACACAGCAGCAGATCTGATGATGGTCACGGGCCTGGGTGACGGTGCAATAGTCCGGCATCCAATGATGATGGCGTGATGATTGGCCGCCCAAGGGCCTCCTTCTTGGCCAGCGGCAGCAGCGGCACTAGGGAGAGGGGAGGTGGATCAATGAGTAATACAGCAGTCCATCAATACCCACGGCGAGCCACCCTGACGATCTATCGCTGCTCGACACTAGGGCCAAAACCATCCTACAAGGGTGCTGGCCCTGGTGATCTCCCTGGGGGCAGCGCGGCTGTTGCTGCAGTGCAAGCCTCGGCTTAGGATCAGAACCATAAACTCGTGATACCATGAAGGCAGGAAGGATTGTGTATAATGTGTGGGATGTATTGCATTGAGCCTCTTGAATCTAAAGACAAGAAAGCGTGTGGCCAGGCTGCCCACACGGCGCGCCACGTCGCCGGCCGTTCCCGGCCGTTCGATCGGCCGCATCGAAGGCCCAGATCGGGCGAGGCGCGGTCATTTTACGAAAAACCCCTTATGTTTTTGGGAAATCAACCCGCGCTCCAGAGGCCCTCTCAGAATATTTTGCAAATAACACCTCAGATAATTTTCAAATCAACCCATGATCCGAGCGGATGAGCTCCGGATTTTTTGCAAAAAAACCCTTCCTTTTATCAAAAATCAACCCGCACTCCAGAGACACTCTCAGCGATTTTTTCGAAAACCTCCTCAGATTTTTCTCAAATCGAAATACAGGCCCCCCTTGATTATATCTTTTTTTTTCCCAAAAAATACGTGTGGCCAGTGGCCCGCGCGCATGGGCGCGCCCGAAGAACTAGTGGTATATATAGAGTATAGAGACTTGGGGGGGGGGCCAAGACACCTCATATAGCAATACCGGATTACAATCCTAACTACCAATACAAAATATACTAACAGCCCCTCCAGACCAGCTTTGGGCTTTTAGAACAAACATAACTTTTTGCAGCCAGAGCCACCTTCGTGGTCTCCAGAAGCCAACTAAAGGATAAAACAAACAGGAGTGTACTAGGAATTTCAACGTGAATTTGGCACCTAGTCGAGATAACAAAATTAAGGCACATCTTGTATCTTTGCTAGGACACCAAAATCTTGCTAGGATTAATCAATGAAACAATATGATACCCTTCATCAAAACAATATGATACCCTTCATCAAGCTATATTCACCATACTAAGCTTCACAGCTTCTCCAATTATTATTTTTTTATTTTTGTTGTCGCTTTATAAAACTTGTTTGACCATTGGGTCAGTCTTTACCATTTGTTAGCTCTGTTATTACCTTTGTACATGTTTGACAACCTTACACTTCCATAAGTTGACTTACCTGCATACATTGCGCTTGGTGTTTTGATGTTTTAAAGAACATTACTATTTTAGTTTAAGGACATTATAAAGTTAATTTCATACTATTGTTTGCAGTACTAAATTAATTTTATTGCAGCCTTTTTTCTTGGTTTGAGCAACGGCTCTGCATTTGCCCAGGAAGACTCAGTTAGCCCAGCTGCAGCTAGTGTGCATGCTGAGGGAAATGCTGCTGGTTTACAACGGATTGAAGATGGATCAGTGGTCTCAAATGAACACACGGTCAAATGGAGAATTTACACAGATAATGGGCGGGAGTTTTTCCAGAAAGCAAGTAACACATTATCCCTAGCTTGATTTCCGATAACTTTTGGGATCTGTGATGTTTCTGAGAGAACCTCCTTTTTTTATAGGTTGTGCATTTTTTTTCTGAAATTGTTTTACATATGAACAATGCAGAAGTCAAACTATTGAACACTACCCTAGTTTTCCTGTACTTGTCTGGTTTTCTGAACCTTGTCAGTGCATGTTTTGTGTTGGAAACTAAGGGTATGCCTTCAGTTCCACCATTAGGTCATCTGCTGTTATGTGATATCACTGTAATATAAGTCATCTACCATATTGCTATGGACAATTATTTATACAAAGCATCAGTTTAGTAATTTTTAATATGTTAATATTACACAACTTATGCATCTACGAACTTGTAACACGGGATGCGAAGATCACATTCGTATTTACCTTTTTATCTCTGCAAATGAACTCCAAATTTCGCTTGCTATACTTGCTACAGATTTCATAGGGCCAGCGAGACATTTTTAAGACCGTTCCATTGAAAGAACTGTTATGAACTGCATTTCCCTTGTTTCACTACCTTTTTTTCCCACACCGGTAAAGACCGAATTGGCGAATTTCATTACCAAAGCAACGAAATTACAGAGGTTTAGCAAATAGCAGGAACGTAAACGAAAGCGTGAAACAAAACCCAGCACGTCCATGAAACTGATCACCGAGGGATCAATCCCATGAACGAAGACTACCGCCACGACTAAGACGAAACACAACGGCAACCAAAACTTGATGTTATTATATTGTCAATATAATAACATCAAGTTCGTAGTTCACTACCTACATAGTTATTATATTGGAATTGATCAATGAAATAAAACTTGGGCTATATTTCTGTAATCAAACACCTTATGAGAGGTTGAGGAAATAAAAGTTATGATTTTGATGTTCACATTGTCTGTCTATTTTGTAGAGACAATTGGATGAGGCTGAGAAGTTATTCCAGGCAGCTCTACTAGAAGCTAAGGAAGGATTTGGACTTAGAGATCCACATGTCGCGTCAGCCCTTAACAATCTGGTAATTGTTAGTTTTATTATGTTCTGAAAACAGAAGTGCACTGTGCTGTTATTAATCTTTCAGGCCGATCTGCAGTATTTATGTTGAATCCTTAATCAAGATGTCTGATATTATGTTATTGTTCATTTACCTAACAGATTTGACTCTGTTATAAAAAAAAACATGATTCAGCTGATTTTGATATTTTTTCTGAGTTTATATGCTTTACCATAGTTCTGTTTTTCAATTTGTATAACGAGTTTCATTATTATTTTTCTCTCATCTGCTGTTCTATGTTCAATCAAGCCCTTGGAGTACTGTTCTATTCTGCCAGCCTTTAACCCACTGCATCATATGGGTCACACAATTGGGCAAGCTTGCAAGCTTACAAGTTTGAACTACGAGTTTAACTGGATTTGTTTGCTGGTCATAAACTGCTCTTATCATTAGTCTCAGGTTAAATGAATGGCATTCATTTAACCTTTTTTCTTCCTGAACTTTGCAGGCAGAGTTTTATAGGTTAAAGAAAGAGTATGAGAAAGCTGAACTACTATATTTTGAAGCAATTGAGATCCTGGAGGAATCATTTGGATCTGATGATATACGGTACATTACAGACTTCATTTTTTTCTGCGACATCATGCAGAGTGTCAATTCATTGTAGATAAGCAGTATTTGTTTCGAGTTGTAAGTGTCAATTTTTCTGGATTCAGAGTTTACAGTTTACACCACTGTAGCCAGAGTTTACCAACTGCTGTAGTACTACTCTACTTGATTGCAAGCAATAATCTGGTCTGATCAGCGAGAGTATTTGATTTGGTTACCACTTGGATATGTTTGAGCTGTCAACTATCATGGACTATTATGTTATTTGGTTACTGGTACCTGGTAAAAATTGAGGAACCCAAGAGGAAATAGACTGGGATTAGCAAGGAATTGAGGGGAGGCAAGCAGAAACATGGAAGCAGGAAGATGAACCCTGAATGTTCTGTTTGATGATTTGCTCTGATCCTGCTTGATGCTTTTCTAGCTCTCCCCTTCTCCTGAGGGGTACATGGCAGCCTGCCCCAGGGACATTATATGACATGGACCCTACCAAAAAAGGGGTACTAAGTTTGATTACAGAAAATATAGTGTGTTTTTCTTACAGAAATATAGTCCAGACATAGAAGTTGTAGGGGTACTATTTGTGAGCCGTAGAGTAGTTTCAATACATACTTACAAAAGTGTACTGGAGCATAGTGCTATTACAGCTGTAGGCATGTCGCACACACAAGTGGACTGGAGCACAGTGCCATAGAAGTTATAGGTTTGACAAACTTATAACAGTTTAGCACGATAGCCATCACATTCCAAATGCAAAGTTTCAGGGACAAAGCAGCAGATGTAAGGCATTGTCTACAGCCTACAGGAAGAATGCTTGTTTCTAAATCAATTTCGTATCTATCTCAATGTGTTTCTATGCTTGATCATTTTTTGAAACACCAAATACATGGTATCCTAAATTTGGCCATTCATCAAATTTATATATTTTTTAATTTAATGTAGGGTTGGAACAGCTGTGCATAGTCTTGGACTATGCTATCATCTTCAACTCAAGCTTGCTCAAGCCCAGACATGTTATGAGGTAACCTTTTGTTGCCTCATGAGTTATTCTTCTTTGTTCAGCTTTTATAGTTTCTTCTGTAATTTTGCTATGCAAGTATGCAACACAGTTCGAAGAGTTTGTTTTTGTCTTTTTTGGTGAATATCATTAAACAGATTGCAGGCAATAGTTTGTAGAAATGGCAATATCTGATACCTTTGATTGGAATCAGGCATATAAACTAAGAAATTTGTAAATCTATGCAAAATTTTCCATGCTAATACTCTGTTTAAGCTGCAGGTGAGTGTACAAAATATTTGAATGGACATTTTTGTATGTAACTTCTTGTTTGAGCCATGCTAGTCCTGACTATATGCATCATTATCATGATACACAAAGAATGAAATTTAGTAACGAAGTCACAGTAAGGGTGACCCGTACTATATTTTCCTCACGAAGTTGTGAAAGGCTAAATGAACTGTTTTCATTGTAGCATTTCTACCTTTTGTGTCAACTTCTGCTATGCTTTCTGCACTTATTTTTTTCATTTGAAGTTTTGAACTTACTTCTTATACCCTTTTCTGTCTCTGTTGTTTCCCCTTTTTTTGCAGCGTGCTTTGAAGGTACCACACCTCAACTTTTTGTGCTCTTGCTTATTTATGTTTAACATTTATTCTCGAAATTTTGTACCTCTGTGTCATAAATTGATACCAATATGATGCTCCACAATAACAATATTTGAGTTATGATCATCCTACTTGACCACACTTATAATTGTCCATTTTTGGTTGATCGCATACAAATAGGCTAAATACAATCTATCAGAACTATACGAATATATGTTGTCATCTTTCATCTTCTGTCACTGTGCTGCCTACACCTGTACCCATTCAATGAAAGCATCAAAGCATGATGGCAAAACAATGGGAATGTCAATATGCTCGTGATTCACTTTTTGAAGTATGCAATTTATCCTTTTTTAACTGCCATCTGTAGATAGAAGGATGTGTTATGGGGGTTGGTCACCCAGAGTATGCAGGTACAATGTACCTTCTAGCCAAGGTACTAGTGCTGTTTTGCTCTTAAACTTACTGTTGTGTTTTTTAGATTAATGATTCTTATGTGATATATCACCTTCCCCAACAGAGGTATCCAACAAGGATACTGCTGCTGCCTTTCTGCTGTTTAAGTTATTGTTTTCTGGATTCTGATCTCTTGTCAATAATCTTTCTCCTGAAATCACTGTCTCATACATGCGTAAGAACCTAGCTGGATACAGCAGCAGCAGCTGTTTGCACATGCAGCAGTGGCACTTTTCCAGCACTTTAATATAGTTTGTTAACTATTTACTTGTAGTTTGTTGATATATTTTATGTTTTGTTTGAGTATCTTCTATCTTTAGGCTATAATTCATCTATTCATCTATAGGACATAATAAAGCCTTTGTACCAACATGATTATTCTAATAACAATTATGTTTTTTTGCTAATCAAGAAGAACTATGGATATATTATGGCCACAGTTATATTTGTTATTAACCTTGGGATCTTAGAAGAATGACACTTCATTAGTGGAGACAGTATATATAGAGAACCTCATGGGGCCTATAGTATATGGGCTTTGATACACTTTATTAACAACACCCCACACCCCCTGCCCCCCGCGTTCAAACTCAAGTTGGAAGTGGAGAATCTGAAGCGTTGAGTTTGCTTAAGTGAAGCCGACGCTAGTCTCAAGTTTGTGCTTAGTTCGGAGGGCACATATTGTGGAGTAATGGTTTTCTAATGACAATGAGAACGAGTGATAAAGAACTATACTTCCTGTTTTATCACAGAGAAGAGGTGTAGAGGCATCACAAGGAATGCCAAAATCACCCAACAACCATTGAAGCCATACGATCTTAGAAGTAGTAGTAGCTCAAGCACTAGAAGTTCTGCCTTTATACAAGAATGAGATACAATTGCTTGCTGCTTCGACTTCATGCAAGAGAGAAGCCAAGAAAAGTGCAGTATCCTGTGATGGAACGAGTATCCTGTGATGGCATGACGATTTGTTGGGTTACTCGCCCAAGTGGAGTCTGAGTACGCATGAAGCTAAAGTTGAACCCAGCGAGCACCCCCCACAACCGCCACCGGCGGCTCGCCGGAGGCCTCGCGGGCCCGGCCCCGTGCGCCTGCGCCGTGGCCTCCCGCGCGCCTCCACAACGACCTCCGCTCGCCTGCACCTCCAACACGGCCACGCGCCCCTACGCCGCTTGACGTGGTTCCGTGGGTCGGCATCCGCGCGCCCACGCTCGCGCCTAGACACGGCCTGCGTGCCTCTCCCCTACCCCTGTGCGCTAGCTTGTTAAGCAAGTATGAGGCCGGTCTGCACCCTGTCGCTGCTGCTGATTCCTCGTCGCCGCTGTCCCTTCCCGCCGGGACTTTCGCTGGTGTTGAGCTCCCCTCCATGGCTCGGCAGGTTTGCTCCCCTGACGCCCTCCTCGAATTTGAGCAGGACCCTGCTCTTGCGGAGTTAGTCAAGGATTGTGATTTCTCTCCGGGTAAGATTCCAAGCTAAAGTTTTTCACAAGTTCTCTTCATTAGTGCATCACCCATCCTTGTCTCTGGATGGCTCTTATTCATGCTTGTGGTTTTCCGGAGATACCTTGGCTCTTCATTGTTGCCTGGGTGGCTCTCCTGCAGGATTTCATGTTTCCTATTTGCAAGGTCTGACATTTTCGCTTTTTCGTTGCCTCGAAGCTGTAAGACATAATCTGTTGCCCCCCATTTCTCCATTGTTGGAGAATGGTCGGCTCGGCCGACCACTCCCTGTTGGGAGTTGGGGACTGATCGGCTCTGCCGACCAGCTCCTGTAGCTAGTAAGGCAGTAGGCCATAGTAGTAGTGGTTTACTTCAGCCATGTAGAGTAGAGATGGTTGAGCTAAGCTTTGTACCTTAGGAGTAGGTAGTTGGTGTACCCTTGTACCTTAGGAGTAGATAATTGGTGTACTCTGTACCTTAGGAGTAGTTAGTTGGTGTACTCTTGTACTTCGGTAATAGGTAGTTGGTGTACTCACCAACAACTATGTACCTGTTAGAGGTGCAAATAGTTGTATATATTCTATCCAAAGGTAATACAGCAAATCAGTTCAGTTTGCCACATCTAGAAGAAAAGCTTTCAGCCAGCGCTGGGTTTGTGCTGTGTGTGTGAGCTGTTCTCAATATCTTCTTGTACTTCTAGCCATAGTGAGTGAGTGTGCTGGTAAGCTTACTGCTTACTAGTGCAGGGCAGCCGAGGGACTAACAAGTGGTATCAGAGCCGTACAAGCGTTGTCGTCGGACTAATCGCTGGCGATGACGGATGGTTTGGAGATGGGCGACAGCAGCTGCTCTGCTGTGGCTGCCCAGCCACGACAGGAGGTCGTCATGCGCACGGTGCGGGAGGTCAGCGACACCAGTTGGCCGACGCTGACTCGCACCAACTATGGCGAGTGGGCGGTGACCATGAAGGTCATGCTCTGAGCCCGATGGCTCTGGAATGCCATTGACAAGGGCACCAACAACGAATAAAACGACAGCGTTGGAAGCCATCCTCGCTGCTGTGCCAGCGGAGTACAGGGAGCCGTTGGGGGCGAAGAGTCCTGCTAAGGAGGCGTGGGAGGCTAATGCGGCGATGCGCGTTGGTTCCGACCGCGCAAAGAAGGCGACAGCCCAACTGCTGAAGCAGGAGTACGTCAATCTCAAGTTCAAAGATGGTGAGTCGGTGGAGGACTTCTCCCTCCGCCTGCAAACGCTCATCAGCAAGTTGAGGAGCCACGGTGTCACCATCGATGAAGAAGAGGTGGTCTCCAAGTACCTTTACTTCGTGCCGGCGAAGTACATCCAGATTGCTCTCTCCATAGAGACGATGCTGGACTTGTCCACCCTCACCATTGAGGATGTGATGTCGTCTCTGGAGCGGTGGATTGGCGCGCAGGAGTAGGCCACAAGAACGACAGACGTGTGGCAAGTAAGCTGGCGGCGGAGGAGAGTGGGCTGCCCGGATGATGGAGAAGAAGTCTAGGGAAGCCTCCTCCAGCCGCGGTGGCGATGGCAAGCGCCGCGACAAGGCTTCTTCGGAGAAGAAGAAGAAGGTCGACCCCAACGCCTGCCGGCGCTGCGGGAAGACAGGCCATTGGGTAAAGGAGTGCCCAAATCGTAAGCAGGAGAAGAAGGCTGAGGCTCATTTGGCGTAGGCTGATGATGATGATGAGGCCACTCTCCTGATGGCGACGTTCTGTGCACCACACGACGTTGAGGCCAAGGAGAAGGGAGAGGTGATGGTGGTGGAAGGGCCTAGGAAGGCTCTGAAGGCTGTCAACCTCGACGAACCGCGCGTCCAAGTCCACCTCGGACGTGTGGGCGGCGAGCAGGAGCAGCGGTGGTATCTGGACTCCGGCACCAGCAACCACATGACGGGCTCCAAGGCAGCCTTCTCCGAGCTCGACGGCAACGTGACCGGCACGGTGAAGTTCGGTGACGGCTCAAGGGTAGCGATTCAAGGGCGCGGCACCATCATCTTCAGGTGCCAGAACGGCGAGCACCATGCGCTGACGAATATATATTACATCACGTAGCTGCGTTCAAGCATCATCAGCATTGGCCAGCTGGATGAGCGTGGCAGCGAGGTACTGATCAAGGACGGCGTCCTCAGGATCAGGGACTGGGAGCAGCGGCTTCTTGCCAAGGTGAAGAGGTCCCGGAACCGTCTGTACCTGCTCGACCTGAAGGTGGAGCAGCCCATCTGCTTGGCTGCACGGCGCACGGAGGCGCCGTGGCTGTGGCATGCCCGGTATGGACATCTCAACTTCGACGCTCTTGGTCGGCTGGAGAAGATGGTTACTAGGCTGCCTCACATCGAGCACGCAGGCGTGCTGTGTGACAGCTGCCTGACCGGGAAGCAAAAAGGTTGCCATTCCCGAAGACGGCGAAGTACATTGCGGCAGAGGCCCTCGAGCTGGTCCATGGTGACCTCTGCGGGCCGATCACGCCGGCTACCTCCGGCTGGCGCAAGTACTTCATCTTGCTGGTGGATGATTGCAGCCGGTACATGTAGCTGCAGCTTCTGACCAGCAAGACCGAGGCGACGGAAGCGGTCAAGAAGTTAAAGGCGTGCGCGGAGGCGGAGAGCGGCAAGAAGCTACGTGTGCTGCGGACTGATCGCGGCGGCGAATTCACTTCGCTGAAATTCGATGCGTACTGTGCGGATCAGGGTGCGGTGCGACACCACACTGCGCCGTACTCGCCACAGCAAAATGGCGTGGTGGAGCGGCGGAACCAGACGGTGGTCGGCATGACTCGATCCATGATGAAGGCTAAGAAGATGCAGACGGAGTTCTGGGGAGAGGCGGTGACCACGGCGGTGTTTATCCTCAACCGCGCGCCCACCAAGGCCCTGAAGGGCAAGACGACGTTCGAGGCTTGACATGGACGCAAGCCGAATGTGTCCTTCCTCAGGACATTTGGCTGCGTCGGCCATGTGAAGAACACCAAGCCTCACCTCGGCAAGCTGGAAGACAGGAGCACGCCGATGGTGCTCCTGGGCTACGAGGAGAGCAGCAAGGCCTATCGGCTTTATGATCCCAAGAGAGGCAAGGTGGTGATCTCTAAGGATGTGGTGTTCGATGAGATGGCGGCCTATCACTGGGAGGGTCTGGGCATGGGGGAAGCTGCCAGCTTGAGCAGCACCTTCGTCGTCAAACACTTAGTCATCCACGGTGGAGACGCTGGAGAAGAGGTGCCGACCACCCCAGGAGTGGTGCCGAGTGGTCCAGCAGCAATGCCGACCACTCCAGAGGGGGTGCCGAGCACTTCAGCAGTAGTGCCTAGCGCTCCAGCAGTGGAAGCGACCACTCCGGCAGTGGTGCCGAGTAGTTCTGCAGGCTGGACAACATCGTCGACAATGCAGGGGCCATAGGCCTGGCGAGTCGACTACTCAACGATCCAGAGCTGCTCCTTGTTAGTGCCGAGGAGCCACCGACGTTCGCAGTGGCTGAACGCGACCCCAATTGGCAACGGGCGATGTTGGAAGAGATGAAGGCC